GACTTGGGACTCATGGTACTTACTAAACCCTAAACCCTAAACCCTAAACCCTAAACCCTAAACCCTAAACCCTAAACCCTAAACCCTAAACCCTAAACCCTACTTGGAGGCTCATGGTGCTTACTAACCACTTACTAACTGGGCGTATAACCCTACTTATACTTGGGATAACCCCTATAAGGCCGTTTAGGGGTATTATAAGTAGGGTTATAAGTACAGTTATAATTGGTTAGTAAGTACCATGAACCTCCAAGGAGCAGAATCGGCCCCGAACCTCCGAAGATGTCAACCCCTCATTTGGGGGGGCTGTGGGTGAGGGTTTAGGGTTTAAGGTTTAAGGTTCAGGGTTTAGGGTTCAGGGTTTAGGGCTTAGGGTTTCGGGCTGAGGGCTGAGGCTTTAGGGTGTAGGGTTCAGGGTTTAGGGTTAGGGGCTGAGATTCTAAGTTGTTTGGGGGCCCTAAACCCTAAACCCTAAACCCTATACCCTAAACCCTAAACCCTAAACCCTTAACCCTAAACCCTAAACCCTAAACCCTAAGCCCTAAATGTGTGGTGGAACCATCCCTCGCCAGCCTGAGGGCATAAAGACCGCCACAGAGCAAGGACAGCTTTGTTGCTACAGAGACGGCGGAGCATCCCAGAGTTCAGCCTTTTAGAGTTTAGGGTTTAGGGTTTAGGGTTTAGGGTTTCGGGTTTAGGGTTTAGGGTCTAGGGTAGCCTCCGTAGAAACAGCCCTCAACCTGTGGACACGTAAGAAGATACAAAGGAACCCCGTAAACCCTAAACCCTATAAACCGTGTAGACCCTGTACACCCTGAAGCCTAAACCCCCAAAACACTAAGATCTTAACCCAAACCCTAAACCCTGAACCCTTAAAACCCTAAAAAGACCCTAAAAAACCCTAAAAACCCTGAAAACCCTGAAACCCTAAATCCCTGATGTGCCAGACTTCGAGCAACAGATCTGAGAGTGCAGGAATGCTTTGGGAATGGTGCGTGCGAAACGGTGGTCCATCCAAACACTTCCGTACCCTAGACTGGAGTTTAGGGTTTAGGGCTTAGGGTTTAGGATTGAGGGTTTTAGGGTTTTAAGGGTTTTCGGGGGTTTATAGGGTTTAGGGTGCACAGGGTTCATCTTGCATCGGAGAGTTTTGCATATTTGGGGCTCGGAAGAAAACAGTTGTCAGGTTGTAGGGTGGAGACGCACTGCTATTCTGCGACCTCACGGCACTTCATTTCACGGTCCGGCCAGAATCACGCTCTGCTGTAGGTTTTGAACTGGCAGGATATTTGTGTGCAGGAATTGTTCTTGTAGAGTCTGGTGCCGCGTACACAAAAGCGCCCGAAAAACAGGAACCGGAAAACATAGAAGCTCCCGACCCTCGCCCCCCCTCCACCCCCCTCCATAAAAACAAAACGCCAGCTTGCAGAGCCCGCAAAGCCCAAAGTTTGAAATGCAACAAGCGCGCGGAGAGGAAGAACATAGTCAAGGAATATGTCGAATGCACCACGCAGACCACGCATATCGGCTGAAGAGACATTCGCAGCCGAAAAAACACTTCGAATAACAGCGTTCTTTCCCGTAGAAAGGTCGCACCGAGCCGGCCAAGAGTCAAATCCGCCGGAACAAACAACGACCGCGTGGGACATTGCGAAAAGCACGCGCAGGACAGTGCCTTTTTTTAAGGTGACGAACTGCGTCTGTCAAGGCGCATGGATGCATGAACACGCAACACAAGCCCTTATAAAAGGACATAAGAAATAGAAAATAGAAACGCAAGTCAACCCGTTAGGCTAAACCCCAAACCCAACACCTTCTTTGCTAAAACCCTAAAGACCTAAAACCCTAAAGCTCTAAAACCCTAAGCCTTAAAATCACAAAACTCTAAAACCCTAAAACCCCAAAACTCTAAAACCCTAAAACCCTGCGCCGTTGCTGGGGACTCGAAGATGCAGGATGCACCCGAAACCCTGAACCCTAAACCCTAAAACCCTAAACCCAAAAACCCTAAACCCTGAACCCTAAACCCTGAACCCTAAACCCTAAAAAACCCTAAAAAACCCTAAAACCCTAAAACCCTAAAACCCTACAACCCTAAAACCCTAAAACCCTAAAACCCTAAAACCCTAAGACCCTAAAACCCTAAAGCCCTAAAACCCCAAAACCCTAAAACCCCAAAACCCTAAAACCCCAAAACCCCAAAACCCCAAAACCCTAAAACCCTAAAACCCCAAAACCCTAAAACCCTAAAACCCCAAAACTCTAAAACCCCAAAACCCTAAAACCCCAAAACCCTAAAACCCTAAAGCCCTATAAAACCCTAAAACCCTAAAACCCCAAAAAAAACCCAAAACCCTAAAACCCCAAAACCCTAAAACCCTAAAACCCTAAAACCCTAAAACCCCAAAACCCTAAAACCCTAAAACCCCTGGATGCTCGCGGACTTTAGGATGCAGCAGAGGACTGCGCATGTTGGGAGCTTCCCAGAGACTCCAATACCCTTCAGGGTTTTCTGTAGGGCTGTTAGGGTTTAGGGTTTAGGGTTCAGGGTTCAGGGTTCAGGGTTTAGGGTTTAGGGTTTAGGGTTTAGGGTTTAGGATTTTGGGGTTCAGGGCTTAGGGTTTAGGGCTTAGGGTTTAGGGTGCAGGGTTTAGGGTTTAGGGGTTTAGGGGTTAGGGGTTTAGGGTTTAGGGTTTAGGGTTTAGGGGTTTAGGGGTTAGGGGTTAGGGGTTTAGGGTTTAGGGTTTAGGGTTTAGGGTTTAGGGGTTTAGGGTTTAGGGTTTAGGGTTTCGGGTTTAGGGTTTAGGGCTTAGGGTTTAGGGTTTAGGGTTTAGGGTTTAGGGTTTAGGGTTTAGGGTTTAGGGTTTAGGGTTTAGGGTTTAGGTTTAGGTACCCTCTGTGACCCCCTCAAAGAGCTATATGTGTTGGCATGAATTTAAACCTTGGGGTCTAGAATTTGTGCTGGGTTTACGGCCTGGGGTTTGGGCCGTTTAGGGGGTGAGGCTTGGTCAGAAAGGGCATCCAAACCCTAAAGCCCAAACCCTAAACCCTAAACCCTAAACCCCTAAACCCCTAAACCCTAAACCCTTGTGATATACCAAGGGTAGGGCTCCCGGAGCTCCTCATAAGTTGTGGCTTTCAGGGTTCCCTCTAAGTCTAAGGTTGAGGCACGCCTTTGGCACCACCTGTGGGCACACGGAAGAAGGGCTTGGTGCGCCACAGTTCCAGCAGAGCCCGAAATACCGCTTAGGGTTTAGGGTTTAGGGTTTAGGGTTTAGGGTTCAGGGTTCAGGGTTCAGGGTTTAGGGTTTAGGGTTTAAGGTTTAGGGCAGAAATACCGCCCCCCGCCCCCCGCCCCCCCTTTTCATGAAGGAGTTGTAACACAACTCGACTTGGAGGTCCATTCCAGTCTCTATAGGAGGTTTAGGGTCAAGGTTTCGGGGTTAGGGTTTTAGGTTTAGGGTTTAGGGTTTAAGGTTCAGGGTTTAGGGTTTAGGGTTTAGGGTTTAGGGTCTAGGGTTTAGGGTTTAGGGTTTAGGGTTTAGGGTTCAAGAGCTCCTGGTCGAGCAGTTTCTCGTTTAGGTTCGCTGTTTAGACCATCGCAAAATATATTCATTTACCCGGAGTTCCCATAACATTAAGAAATACAACGTTTCTTCTTATTATTAGGATGGCTCAACAACAAAAGTAATAGGGTTCGCAAGGGTTTAGGGTCTCAAGGGTTTAGGGTCTCAAGGGTTTAGGGTTTCAAAGGTTTAGGGACTCAAGGGCTTAGGGTCTCAAGGGTTTAGGGGCTCAAGGGTTTAGGCGCTCAAGGCCGGGCCTTGCCCACTAATTCTTGGGCCTTGCTGTTGCCCACGAATTTTTGGGCCTTGCCCACGAATATTTGGGCCTTGCCCACGAACTTTAGGGCCTTGCCCACGAATATTTGTGCCTTGCCCATCCATTTTTGGGCCTTGCCCACGAATATTTGGGCCTTGCCCACGAACTTTAAGGCCTTGCCCACGAGTTTTTGGGCCTTGCCCACCTCTATTTGGGCCTTGCCCACGAATATTTGGGCCCTGCCCACTTTTGGGCCTTGCCCACGAACCAAAAGGCTCAAAAATTCGTGGCCAAGGCCCAAAAATGCCACGACTGTTTGGGCCTTGCCCACGAAGAGTTTTTGGGCCTTGCCCACGAATAATTGGGCCTTGCCCCACGAATATTTGCCTTGCCCACGAGTTTTTGGGCCTTGCCCACGAATACTTGTGCCTTGCCCACGAATACCATTACGGTTTATAATTATATGGTAGGAGAGGTTTAGGGTTTAGGATTTAGGGTTTAGGGTTTAGGGTTTAGGGTTTAGGTTTTAGCGGGTTTAGGGTTTAAGGTTTCGGGTTTAGGGCTTAGGGTCTAGGGTTTAGGGAGGGGGGGGGGGGGGTATCGAGCTCCCTGGCATTTGGTTGCAGAAAACAAAGGCTCTGCAACCCAACCGCAGGGCTCAGAACTGCTGAGCCGAGCAGAAGAATTTCTTGAAAATGCCAGCTGCCGGCGAGGGTCTCGTGAGGCACATGGACGAGGTTCAGGGTTTAGGGTTTAGGGTTCAGGGTTCAGGGTTAGGGTTTAGGGTTTCGTTTATTTAGGGTTTAGGATTTTGGTTTTAGGGTTTAGGTTTTAGGGCTTAAGGTTTAGAATTTTGTTTGGTTTAGGGTTGATCTGAGCCCCCAACTCCCCCCGTAAGCCCCCACCTGGCCAGTTTGGACAACGATTGTGCAAGGACCCCTGGCGCAGTGAGGACCACCCATGGGCCTTCACCTGAGCCACGCTCAAGTACGAAACTTTTGGGGCTGCGGATTTAGGGTTTAGGGTTTAAGGTTTAGGCTTTAGGATTGAGGGGTAGATTTCCAGAGGGTGCTTACAAATTACCTGGCAATCAAGAGCAGTCAGTACTCCGATTCAAGACTATTGAATATCCAAGCGTCTCTCCAGGTGCTTGCAATGCACACCGACGGCTAAGCTGCTCAAGCTCTGCAAACCTCGCCGGAAGAAGCTCCATCCCCGCTGACACTCTAAGCTTTTGACAGCTGACAAAAGAAATTCAACCGAGCAGTAGCATGCAGCAAGTACAAAGTTTCAGCAGTAGAAGTAGCGGCGGTAGCAGTAGCAGTGAGAACGACAGCAACCGCATCACGCCGCATCTATTGACCCAGAGGGTCCCTCTGCAGCCACCCCTGCAGAAGGTTGAAACCTAATCCCAAAACATTCCGAATCTACCAATTGCTTAAGAACACCCAAAAGTTATACATGCAAAAAACATTCTTCCTTATAAGGGTAATATAGGGATTACTATCTTGTATTCTTTGGGGGTTCTTAAGCAAATGGTAGGAATCGCCGCCAGGTTAACAGGGTAAAACATCACATCAGGTGCCCAGTGGTTTCATTCATTCACCTCAGGACTGGATGCTACAGGGTTTAGGGGGTGCGAAGGGAAAGAAGAGACCGTGACCAAAATCTACAACAACCCCCCCCCCTCCCAAATATTCCCCAAACCCTAAACCCTAAACCCTAAGCCTTATGAAAGCACCGTATTTCAAGCCCCTGCCTCCTTTGACCTCCCCCTACCACAGGACGAGTCCATGGTGGTCAGGGTGTCGACGCTCTGTTCCCTGGAGATCTCGGAGATGAACTTCTCCCCTTGGCAAAGAGTCCCTCAACCCTAAACCCTAAACCCTAAACCCTAAACCCTCAACCCTAAACCGCTTTTCAAGCGAGAATCTCCCCCAGACCCTGGGCCCCAAAGGGTTGCCATACTGTACCCTAAAACCCCTAAACCTTAAACCCTTAAACCCTGAAACCCTAAACCCGAAACCGTCTGGGTAGCCCGAAACCCAAAACCCCAAAGCCTGGCTTTCGTGACCATGGTCAGTGACCCAACATGACAAAGAAAAACGTTTTGGGGTTTAGGGTTTAGGGTTTTAGGTTTCGGTTTTTGGGGTTAGGGTTTAGGGCCCTGGGAAGACCTAGAAAGCAGAAACCCCAATCGAGCATCTTGCGCTACCATACAGGGGCCCTTCAGCAGGATCTAAGATCCGATCCTCCCAAGGGCCTTCAGGGCTAAAGCCCTAAACCCTAAACCCTAAACCCTAAATCCTACACCCTAAACCCCAAACCCTAAGCCCTAAACCCTACACCCTAAATCCCAACTCTAAACCCCTAAACGCCAAGCCCTAATC